CGGGCGGGGCGGCTGCGGGCGGCGCGCTGCCCCTTTAAGGCGCGGCCGGGGCGGGCCCGGCGGCGCGGCCCCTTTAAGGCTTGGCCTACGTGGCAGCCGCTGGAGCCGCTGACGGGGAGTGAGGCCGGCCGCCGGGCACTTCCTGTGGAGGCCGCAGCGGGCGCGGGCGCCGAAGGGCCGAGCGCCGAGCGAGCGAGCGAGCTGAGCGAGCCGAGCCTCCCGCCGCCGCCATGGGCCAGAACGACCTGATGGGCACGGCCGAGGACTTCGCCGACCAGGTGCGGCCTGCGGCCCCGCCGGGCCTCCCGCCCCCGGCCCCCGGCCCGGAGGCCCCCCTCCCGCGGCACCCCCCCCCGGGCCCCGAGCCCTTGGCCGCCCCCAGAGCCGGCCCCCGACCCCGGAAGGCTGCCCCGAGGTCTGGGCCGTGTCCCCGACCCCGCCAGAGGATCGCGCCCCCTCCCCCAACCAAGGCATTCCCTCCTGGGCTCGTCGCGCTCCCCGGCCCGGGACCCCCCCAGCCCGGCCTCCAGGCCGGCCTGCCCTTGCGCCGCCGCCCCACCAGGGCTCTGGGGGTGTTCTCGGGCCCGTGCTTCGGCACCCAGGCGGGTGGGCCGAGCCCCCCGAACCTGCCTGGGCGCTCCCGGAAGGAGAGGGGTGTTGAGGGGCTGCCTCGCCCCCTCCTGAGAAAGGAGCCCGGGGTCCCGGGGGGCGCCGCTGGTTTGGGCCAAGTCTGGCGACCGGGGAGCGCCCTCTCCCCTTTGAACTGTCGGGGTGGCCCCTGCACGCTTCCCCTTTCACTGGCACCCTTAGGGGGCGGGGTGGGGAGCTCTGAGCCTGAACCGGGCTTGGTCAGCCTGGAGGCCTGGGGGTCCTCCCAGAGGAGAGGGGGCGCCCTGGTATGTGCCCTAGCCACAGAGCGCCTCAGCACTTTTTTCTTTGCTCTTTCCCAGATGTGTTGGACTCATGGGGTCCCTCTGACCCTCCCAGCATTTTCCCTCCCTGTTTGGACTCTGCCCTGGGACTGAATTGAATGGGTATCTATCTGTACACAAACCTGGGAGGAAGGGGAAGCCTCTCTTCTTGGGTTTTTTTTTTTTTTTTTTTTTTTCCCTTCCAGAGCGTACAGGTGGCATTCTGAGCAACAGGGAGGCTGAAGCAGGGCAGCTGACACACACCGGGTGGACAGAATCAGACCCTAGGAGGAGGAAAGGACAGTGCTTCCACCCTCTTTTGATTAAGCTTTTGAGTGTTTAGTGTCCCTTTTACTTGTAAAAGTATTCTATTATGTTTGTGGGTTAACAGCCTTATCCCCGCAAGGCTGACCCAGGTCTGGCCCAATTGCCATTTCATTCCTTAGTTCACTTACTGTGCTTGTGGTCTTGCCAGAGTTAACAGCAGTGAGGTTAAATTTTTAATTTTTATGGAAGTAGTATTGAGTAATCAAACTCTGAAGCTTAGGTTTATTGGAAGGCATGTATTCGTTTGTGTGATTTAAAAAAAAAAAAAGATAAATGAGTGTTTTCCGATCAGGTACGGGTGAGCAAGATTTTCCACTGTTCCCCTCGAGGGCTGAATCTTCCTAGTGTGGTCTGCTACTTGGGTTCTCCTTCCATCACTTTCCTGTGAGCTGGTATTTTAAAACCAATTTGGGGGAGAAAAAGTATATCAACTTGAAGAAATAGTTTTTCCTAAGGTCACAATTCCGTGTTTACAGACACAGTTTAAAAATCGTATCCTTCACAAAAACAATTCATACCAAGAGCTCTCAACCAAGTAGGTCTTCCTTCCCTGTCAGTTTTCATTGACATGGTTTTAGTGACCCGATTTCATTTCCCCAAGTAGCAGCTCCCTAAGAAGATGGCGCCTTTCAGCCAAGGGGACTGTGGGAGCTCTGTATACTCACTCTTCAGTCTGGAGAACCCTGATTTTGCAAGTGCATTTCATAACCAAATCTAGCTAAAATGTCTCTAACCCAGCTGCTGCCAACGATCAAATGATAAACTTTCCTACAGAAAAAAAAAAAAAGTTCAAAATCTCTTTATGTAATCTTCTCTTCTTTTTCTCCATGCATTTTGTTTGAAACGAAAGAAGCAGAATCTTGGAACCGGAAAGGCCCTTGAGGGGGACACAGGGTCTGCCTGCACCAAATTACTGCTGGGAAGGAAGGCAGGGCCTGCTGGGGCTTCTGGACTGGCCTGGGGCCTGGCCCTGGGGGCAAACCCAGACTCCAGCCTCGCTTTGAGGCTGGTGCCACATAGGACAAGCTTCTGAGGCCTGGTGTTCTTCAGGCACAAAAAGAGGGAAAAGGACTGGCCTTGTAAAGGGGCATGGCTGCGTCAAACCCAGCACCCAGGGCGGCCCAGCGCTGTGTCTGTCAGGCAGCGCGGGCTCCCGCTTTTGGCTTATCAGCACCACGGCCCACCTGGCTGGTGGCAGCAGATGTCCAAAGACACCTCCATGCCCCCTTGTGGGGGACTCAGGAGGGCAGTGGCCCTCGTGCACTTCAAAACCAGAGTCGGGAGCTGCTTCTGCCACAGTCAGGCTCGACACAGGAGGATGTGGGCAGATCAGAGTGCAGATCCAAAGTGATAGCTTCCCGTGGACAAAATCTGGCCAAGCTACCATGGCGTTTTTGTTTTTAACATTTATCCACATAATATTAAAACAAAGCTGCCGATGATAAAGGTGCTGAGAGTCTAGGCTTTTAGACTGAAAATGATTTCATTTGAAAGGAATGGGGAAATGTCAAAGGCACTCATCAGGTAACGTGACATACCCGTTTTTTTCTAACCTTGTCTTCAGAAAAGCAAAAATCAAATGACAGGATTTGGCCAGGAAGTCTGGGTTGCTGAGAGGGAACCTAAAAAGGCCTTTGTTTCCTCCAGGAGTTAAGACAAGAGTCCCAAGACACTAACTCTGGGCCAGGTCCTCCATACTTAGGGCTGTGTTACCGGAGCGTGTGGGGCTGGCCAGGGTGCCTCCATCTTCAGCCGCGGGGAGGGTGGTCTTGCACGGCACACGGTGGGCTGAAGTTCTGAGTACCGAAGGCTGGGCTCCTCACCTCTTGGCTGTCCTGCACCCCTTCCTTCAGGCCTGCAGAGGTGAGAGCACAGGGTCAACTGTCTGGGTAGTTCTGGCTGGCAGGCTCCTGCAGAGCTGCATCCCTGGCATCAGGCTCCTTGCCCCGGGCAGCCAGGGATAGTGTCCTGCTCCCAGGAAGCCAGGCGCTAGAGAAAATGCTGAGCATGCCCTCTGCAGACGCTAGGCATCCGGAAGCCATCTGAGACCAGGTTGGAAGGAGCCAGAGACCAATGAACTCAGCAATCCAAAATGACATCTGTGTCCTGCAGCTGGTGCTCGCTGCTATTCAGCAGAATGTAACCCCTGAGCACATCTGCACCAGTAAACAGGAGTATTAGCACCTAATGGGTTTGGCCTGACAGCTCATCACCAAGGTGACAGATAAGCTGAATGGGGCCTTGCTCTCCAGTGGGGCCTTTGGTTTTTACCTGTCTTTGGCATGAGAGAGCCAGTCCTGGGAGCTCTGACCCCCAGGAGTTCCCTGTGGCCTCTGGTCAAGCGGTGGGTAGGTAGGATGGCCCCGACAGAACAGTGCCGGGGCGCACGTAGGGCACGGGTGTTAGGGCTCTGGGTTCACTGCGTGGATGGCCGCTGGGTGGGAGTAGGGCTCTGGGAACGGTGGGTTTTGAGCATCCTTTCCTCGTTCCTCTGCTCTGTGCCCCCTTCCCTCCCAGGGCTTCCTGCCTTGTGCTATCAGGAGCGAGGGGAGAAGGCAGGGAGAGCTCATTCTTCCCTGCTTGCCCGTCTTAGGAGGTTAAGAAAAGCCACCCTGTCTCTTCTGGGGAGCGGGGTAGAGATGTGGGGGGGACTGTGGTTAGCGAGGCTTCTCCTGGAAAGTGAAGCACAGCTCTGTTCTCTTCCATGTGACCTGTCACCGTTCACCTATGGTTAGGCTCTTAGTCGCGTGGGGTTTTGGTACAGAAAGGCAGGCCATCTGCAGGCCTGCTGACTTGTTCCTGTACCTGGAGGTGCAGTATGGACCCACAGAGTAGTACTCCGGGAGACTTGCTGGGGAGCTCTGGGGCCATGGTGGATGCACACGTGTGAGTCACTGAACTCTTGCCTCAGCCCTGACTCAGCCTGATGGGAGTGAAGTCACCCAGCCACAAGTTCTAATTATCTGGGATGTGTAGGCTTGAGGTGGCCCTTGAGAAGGGCAGTCCCAGTCCCTGGCGGCAGCCCTGGTCTGGCGATCAGAAGGTCTGACTCGCCCTTTTCCACTTCCTCAGAGTTCTCCACCAAGAATTGCACACTGTTTCCCTCCAGTCCTTTCCATCCCGAATACTCAGAGAAAGTCGGGTTCTCTGTGTTGCACGGGGCTGCAGGTGGCGGTGGGATGGGATCACTGTGTTCTCAGAGTTAAGGGCTGGCAGGGTATGTTTCTGAAATCCCTTCCAGAATAGTAACCCCTCGGAAATCTCAGCTTTCTGTATTGCCTGAGTCCCTCAGATGCTGTCACTGCTTATGAGCCGTATCACGCTTGACTGCAAGGTTCTCGGAGATGCCTGTGAAAAGCCAGCCCCACAGAGACTGGCCGTCCTGTCCTGCAGTCTGTCCCTGCTCGGTGTCCACCTCCCACTCTGCTGCCATGATTCTCTCCCGTGCTCGGCAGTGGTGGGTCTTGGCGTCCGCAGTGGGCAGCACCGGCCTGCAGGGCCTGTTGGCGAGCTGGAAGCCGGTGCTGCGTGTGCATTGGACAGGGGACCGCTCTGGGCTCTTGGGTGCTGCCGGATGCCTGACTCAGGGGCTCTTCCCTGCTGTGGCAAGGGGATGCTGTCCACAGATGCATGATGTGGATTCAGTGGCCAAGTCTGAACTGTTGTGACCGACACGCGTTCAGGGAATCTGTAAAACTGGGTCTGGCCTCGTGTTTATTTCTTTTTTAAACCATTTTTTTTTTAAGATTTTTATTTGTTTGAGAGAGAGAGTGCACACAAGCAGGGGGGAGCGGCAGGCAGGGGGAGAGGGAGAGGGAGAAGCAGGCTCCCGGCTGAGCAGGGATCCTGATGCGGGACTTGATCCCAGGACCCATGACCTGAACTGAAGGCAGACGTTTAACCGACTGAGCCACGCAGGCACCCCTCTAGAGCCTCTTTTAAACCAGCCAGCCTCTAATAAGCACCTGTTTGGACTGAACATGGAAGAAAAAAACCTATGTTTAGGGGCTCCTGGGTGGCTCAGTTGGTTAGGCATCTGCCTTTGGCTCAGGTCATGATCCCAGAGTCCTGGGATCAAGCCCCACGTCGGGAAATCTCTGCTCAGCAGGGAGCCTGCTTCTCCCCCTGCTTGTGCCTGTGCTCTCTTTGTCAAATAAATAAAACCTTTAAAAAAAAAAAAAAAAAGAGGCTCTGGAGCAACCTGACTTAGAAAATATAGTCAGCCCTAAGCCTAGACCGCATCTGACTTTGAAAATGAGATATATGCTTAGTTCACAGCACAGATAACCTGAATTTTGGCATTTTTTCCCCTAAGCCCAGAGCTGTCTCCTCAGCATGTCTCATGGGGAAGGGAGGAGTCTCCCCATTGCTCTTTAATCCTGTTGACCCAGACACTCAAATTAGGAGTACAGACTCCTCACGGAGGCTTTTAAACACTACCTGTGTCTCTTGGGCTGTGCTGCGGAGCAGTGCGTGTGTTAAATGGGGGTACTTACAGGGAGGGGGCTCCGAGTGAGGCCCAAGGGTCCGGGCTTGTTTGCTCCTCACTGGGGAGCACAGGAGCGCCTTTCAGCTCCAGTTCGGGGCACCTCAGCACCCCGCCGATGTCGGCCTGCCTGCCTTTTGGGCTCAGCCTCCTCCGGAGTCCCACAGTGGCTTCAGTCTGTGTGTCTACGGACTGGACTGGGAGCGATTCTACCATTGATTGTTGCTGGGCCTTATGAAAACATTTGGGGGCCTTGAGGCAGAAGTGGCAGGGTTGGTGGCGTCCGCTGTCCCTGTCCCTCCTGGTCTGATGCTGGGGTGTGTGGACACCAAGTGTACGTATGTCTTATGTGTGCTCTACGTAGACTCCAGTGTTCACAGGGGCATTCGAGGCCTCTCTTTTTAAACAAGGTTCTTTCTCCTTCCTTTTTCTCCTCTGCTTATTCAAGTTGGAAAGAGTCTTAGCAACCACTAATCCAGCTGTCCTCACTTTGTAGAAGGATAGCAGAACCGTTCCTCGGCCTCTGGAAGTGATTCGGCTTGTCCACAGCCACAGGGCACGGGTTGGCGGTGCTCACACTGAGCCTCATCTTCACAGATGCACCTGGTTCAGTGTCTAGGCATCTGTCTCTCTCTCAGGTGACCTCTGCGGTCAAGGGCTGGGCAAACGTGTGCAGAAGCGCCACCTTGGGGCTCAATCAAGCTCAGTAGATCTGAAGAGAAAGGACAGCTGCCTGTAATCTCCCCCCATGACCCATCCGAGACGGGCCGGGGGGGGGGGGGGGGGGGGGAGGCTTCTCTGCGGACAGAAGCAAAGTTGGCCAACTAGGGTTGATCGAAACAGCCAGAGGCTCATTACCCGCGGCTGAGAGCATCAGCTGTTTCTAGAACTTGAAAGCAGCTTTTCAAAACGCCAACAATTAAGAGACGCTTTTAGATACTAGATACACCTTCGTTGGTGCCAATAAGGTTTCATCCGCTCTAAGAGGGGCTGTGACGTTCATTTGACCGTCCCTTTGTGGGGGCCAGACTCACAGATGCCCTTTAGACTCTGCCGCCTGACGCGTCATTGGGTGGGTCCCAGCCTCCCAAGAGTGGCTGTTACCGTGTGTCGTAGGGTTTCCCTTTGCACTTCGTTTCGAGGTTGGAAAGAGAAAGTGGCTGCCGGGACCCAAGGACATTGGTGCCCCGATTCAGCTTGCATGTTTGTTTCCTACCCATGCTGTTGTTTAATGGTCCACCTCGTGGCGGGGCAGGAGGAAGTTCTAAATGTGTTTTCTCTCTGCTTGATGTTTGCCAGTGATTTCCCAAACTTGAATTTTGCTGCTCTTGACACAGTTGTCCATCCGTTTGTGAGTGTGTCTTTGTCAGAGACTTGAAGGGCTGTGGAGGTGAGCCGCACCAGTCCCACGTGTGCACTCCCAGTGCTGGCACACAGTGGCCCACCTTCTGTCCAGTGCGGGCTCCGGGAGGGGCCGGGAAATGGACGCGTGACTGCTCCGCAGGTTCTGGCCAAGTGTAGACACGTGAGCTTACCGTTGGCTCAACTGAGAGGCCCTCTTCTAGGCCTGGGACCCTGGCTGTCACCTAAGCGGCCTGCCGTGTCAAGAGTGTGCGTGGCTCTCATTGGTCTAGAGGCGGTCTGAGCTTTGTCGGGGATGCTGGGAGGCCAGGGCCCAGCCGTGTGTGACCAGGAGGCCAGGTCGAGCCTCAGCCCGGCAGTGTGGGGTCGGTGCAGTGCTGAGCGAGCCTCTCTCCCCTGTGGGGTTGTTTGCCCGTTTGTAGAAGGAGAGGTTCTCAAAGGAGTGGGGGCAATTTTGTCCCCCCACCAAGGGACACGTGGCACTGTCTGGAGGCATTTTTGGTTGTCACAATTGGAGGGGGGCTGCTAACGGCGTCTGGTGGGCAGAGGCCAGGGATGCCGCTCACCACCCTTCGGTGCAGGCCAGCCCACAATAGAGAGCCCACGATAGAGAATGACTCGGCGCAGACGTCGGGGGGCGCAGGTGGGGAGGCTGCCCCCCTGGAGCTCACAGGGCCTTGTCACACAGTGATCCTAACTCACCAGGGCCCTCGCCTGAGCATGCATGCTGTGTATCATTGCCGTCTACACAAGGGTGCTGAGAGGACAGGGGATCCCAGAAGGGCGCTGTGGCCATCACCCCGGGGGTCTGAGCCAGACAGGCCGGTGGCACCTGCAGACCGCCACGGCAGTGCAGGGAGAGGTGCTGAGGGTCGCTGCGCCCCCCCCCCCCCGGCGTCCAGCGTCCGTCCCGCAGCCGCCTCAGCTGGGTTTCTGTGGCCCGCAGTTCCTCCGAGTCACGAAGCAGTACCTGCCCCACGTGGCGCGCCTCTGCCTGATCAGCACGTTCCTGGAGGACGGCGTCCGCATGTGGTTCCAGTGGGGCGAGCAGCGCGACTACATCGACACCACGTGGGGTTGCGGCTACGCACTGGCCTCCGCCTTCGTGCTCCTCAACCTGCTCGGGCAGCTGAGTGAGTGGCCCCGAAGCGCGGGCGCAGGGGGCGGGCAGGGCAGAGCGCGTCTCCTGGGGTCTCCTGGGACGGCTGGCCTCTCCCTCCCCTCCTTCCCCAGCAGTGGGCCTCCGGGTGGGTGCTCTGCTTGCTACAGACAGATGACATGGTTCCGGTTTCAAGCACCTGGAGTGGGACATGCGGGGGATCCGGGTGGGCCGGATGGGAGCCAGAGCTGTCAGAACCCAAGCTGTCGGGAAAGGGTGAGCGCTAGGCTGGAAGAATAGAGCTCACATGGGCCTCAGGGCTTCTGCTCCCGACCACGGCCTTCTGGTGGCAGCCCCCCTCCCTTGTACCTTGTGGGGCAGGAAAGAGGCCTGCGTTTTTCAGCCTGTCCCTAAGCTCTCCACAGCAGAGTTGCTGATGGACCACCCACTCTGGAAAAGGGCCCATTCTCTGGAGCAAGGGATCCACTTTCTAGAATGGTGTTTCTGATAAGTAAGGTCCAGTTGACCTGTGTGTGGTCTGTGCCTCTCACCAGTTCTCCTGAAAGTTGCTTTTTCCTTGGGGTGGGTAGTGGGGCTGCCGGTGCACAGGTCTCAGGTGAGGTGGCCAGGGACCCGGTGGCGTCTCTTCGCCCGGGACTCGCCCACAGCCCCCTGACCCTTGCCCTTCTCCTTTCCAGCTGGCTGCATCCTGGTGTTGAGCAGGAACTTCGTGCAGTATGCCTGCTTTGGGCTCTTTGGGATCATAGCACTACAGGTACACGGGACGTGCCGTCCGGGTCTCTCTCTTCCTTGCTGTGGTTGGAGCAGAGCTTCTGCAAAAAGGCGTTTCTGGGGATTCAGTTTCACTCCCCGCTTGAGCCCTCTGCCTGGACCTCCTTTTCTTTTCTGAGTAATCACTGGATTTTCCTCAAAGCAAGCTCAGGGGAGTGGGAGAGGATGGTGCCCCGAGAAGGTGCCAAGCTCTGAGTATCCACCTTTTTGCCACCTTCCTGAGTTTCCTTTGACAGGAGGACAAATCACAAGGTTGGCTACAGCCAAGACATTATCTTTTGACCTTGTAAATAATGCCCAGCTAGCCGCGTGAGCTGTGTAACACATAGCACATGAACTGGGTTGGTGCCCTCAGCTGCCATGCTCCAGCCCACCTTGGGCACAACTCCGGTGAGCAGGTGCTTGTTAAGCAGGCCCGGGCTGGTGAGCACGCCCTGAGAAATGCTGAGCCAGATTGTTGAATTTGGAGCCGTCCTGGGGTCCTAAACCGTTTGTGTGTCTTACACTCACACTTACATTGGAGAAATTGCTTACTGCAGTTAATTCTGTAGAAGTCTGAATGGGTTTGAAAATGCTGAGACTCCAGTTTCTGTCTGTTCTCTGTTCCCTCCAGACGATTGCTTACAGCATCCTATGGGACTTGAAGTTTTTGATGAGGTACGTGTGCTCCACATGGTGAGCTTCCTTTCCATGTCTCTCGACTCAGGAGCTAGCAGTGGGAGTGAACTTCTTCGGGTCCAAGTGTGCTTCAGTCTGTAGGGGGTGTTGGCAGAAGCTCCCCCCTGACCCCGAGCACAGGGGCGTATGAAGCCGTCTCTCCCAGTTTTATGTCCCCGAGGGAGGGAAGGAGGGACAGAATGACCGCGCTTTGCTCGCGGCGCTGGTCGGCTGTAGAGCCAGGGCTGGGGTGGCCCGGGTGTGCTCAGGCTCTGGTCACTGCTCGGCAGAACAGACGCATCTGTCCTCAGCCGTGGAAGGCCTTTGCAGATGTAAGGCAGTCACCCAGCTGGTCTGGCGTGGTTTGGAGAGAGGGACCTAAGGGCCTTTCCTGTGCTCCCGCCGAGATCTCCCGACCTGGTCTGATGGGCACGTGTCGTGCCCGGTGAGCCTTAGTGACTCACCCGGTGTGTCTGTTCCCAGGAATCTGGCCCTGGGAGGAGGCTTGTTGCTGCTCCTTGCGGAGTCCCGTTCCGAAGGGAAGAGCATGTTCGCAGGCGTTCCCACCATGCGCGAGAGCTCTCCCAAACAGTACATGCAGCTCGGAGGCAGGGTTTTGCTGGTCTTGATGTTCATGACCCTCCTTCACTTTGACGCCAGCTTCTTCTCGGTGAGTGTTCCTGTTTGCTTAAATGGGTCAGGTCTCCTATCTGTGGAAGGGGTGCTGCTCCCCACCCCCTTCCCTGGTTGTGTACTAAGCCAGTCGAGGGGCTGTTGGAATGATGTGGGAACGAGTTGGTTCAAAGGAAGCAAACCTTTGATCCTATTAAAAGGAATAAAAACCTACAAGCTCTTGTGGGCCCAGAGTGTACAAATGAAGTCGAGAATCTCCCTGACCTCACTGGGGGACCCGCTGCCTGGCATGCTGACTCCCCAGCTGCCGACCCAGGCTCTTTACAGACTACTTCTTCCCTTGCCCACTGCTCACACCTCTGTCACATACTGTGTGCATGCCGGGTGTTGGCTGCAGAGCTGCAGGTTCGGTCCTGTTCTCAGGAGCTTACAGCGCACGTCTTTAGAACCGGCTGGGTGCCCTAGCTGGGAGAGGTTCCCGGGAGTGGGGAGCCCGGTTCTAAAAAGTACTGGGGAGTATCTTGATGGCTTGCAGGCCCACAGGCTCAGACCCAAGTGTGTCCTGGTAAATCACAGCCTGTTCACAGGAGGCTTTCCTTTACCCTCGCCCTGACTGCTCGTGCTTTGGAGCGTTCTTGTATGTGCTGCCCCCCCCCCCCCCCCCCCCCGTTGGTACTGCTCACTTGAATGCATGCCCCTCTGATGTCACCCTGACACCTACCCCAGTGACAAAGGCACTTGGAACTTGCCCATTTATAAAACAGGGTATGTCTTTTCTTCCTCACCCCCCCTTTTTTTTATTTTGGTATTTCTCACCTTCCGACCTATGCAGATTCTCCAGAACATCGTGGGCACAGCTCTGATGATTTTAGTGGCCATTGGTTTTAAAACCAAGCTGGCTGCTTTGACTCTTGTCGTCTGGCTGTTTGCCATCAACGTGTATTTCAACGCCTTCTGGACCATTCCTGTCTATAAGCCCATGCACGACTTCCTGAAGTACGACTTCTTCCAGACCATGTCGGTGATCGGAGGCTTGCTCCTGGTGGTGGCCTTGGGTCCCGGGGGTGTCTCCATGGATGAGAAGAAGAAAGAGTGGTAACAGACCCCTTCCCTGCCTGGCTGAGACCCGTGGCCATCGAGGACTGGTTCGGGGCGGATTTGACAAAACTGCCAGCATTTATGTACCCTCTTCCCTCCCCTCCTGGTAAAGGCACAGATGTTTTGAGAGTTTATTTGCAGACACCTGAAAATTGATGGCTAAATTTGCTCTAGACCCACAACCTAGTAATCTGACCCTCGGAGCTGGCCGGCTGGCCGGCAGTATCTACCCCCCCGCCCCCCCCCAAGGCAAGGCCTCAGCTTCTCACAGCGAGTGGCTGGCTTGGCTGGGGCCTCACTTCCTGTTTTGTTTCTGGTTCGCGGGTGGGGGCCTCAAGCTGTACTGTGAGCAGATACATTTGTGTATCCTTCAAAGCAGTCTCCCTCTTATTTTTTCAGTTTACGTTTTTAACTAAAATGAAAGGATTCAGGATGGCCCAGCCCAACATCAAACACACTGTCCAAGTCCTGGTTTTAAACCACACCCACGGCTCCGAGTTAGCCCTGCCCCGCACTGTAATACTGGCGGGGCTGGTGACGGCATTTAGAGAGACCCAAACCCAAAGAATGATGCTGCACTGGAGGGGTGGCCGCGGCCACTGTCCATGGTGGAAGTCACTCATCAGAAAACCGCCTCAGACTGGGGCCAAGGTTTGAGAGGGCAAACCCCCCGGGAGCTTTAGTGGCTCAAGGTGGGGACGGAGGCGCTCCCAAGTCCTCTGCAGGGATCCACGCTCCGACCCTGGCCTGGCCACACATCTGCAGGTTGGCTCTCATGTGAGGGGCGTGGGCCGAGTGGCAGCTGCGTGGGGCAGGGCAGCAACAAAGCCGGCTCTCAGACCAGTTACCTCACCCCCGACCTTTACAGAGCCTCTGCTGAAGCCCTGGGCACAGCTCCGACCTGGCTGAGCGCCGCGCCCGGTTCTCCTTTGGCTGGAGGGATCCTTCCCAGGCTGTGCAGCCGCGACTTACCATCCTCACAAGGCTGTCGCTTGCTCCGATTGTCTATTTGCTATGCTGAATGCAGCCCAAATTACTTTTTACAATTTGTGATGCCTTACCGATTGGATCTTAATCCTGTATTTAAAGGTTTCTAACATTGCCTTATACTGCGTTTCTCTTCTTGGGGGTATGAGCGCCCATTGCTCTTCTCCGCTTGCTGGGCCGTAGCGGACACCGTAAGGGGAGAGTGGGGCATCTTGGTGCCTCCCCCCGGGCCTCCCCCAGACCCTCTTGGGGGCAGGCTGACCAAACTCGAATGAGGACTGCCTGAAGCTCGTCTTTTCTCCTGGCTCATCAGTTAGGTGTGCAGGCCTGAGGGTCACCCCTGGGGATGCTGGGGGCCAGTCCCGAGCCAGGATCCACATCTACCAGCCAGACCAGAGCCAGTGTGAGGTGGGGAACCTGCCCCGCTTTTGCCCCCCAGTGCTCTTAGAACCTTACCTGGCTCTGCAGCCTGGACCCACCAGACCTGAGGGCAGCATCCCGTGCCTGTGCCCCAGCCCCTGTGGAGGCTCATCCTACATGTTCCTAAACCCTCGCCCACGGCCCATTTGTATACCCCTCTGGCCTTTCGAAGATGAAACAATGGCTTACTGACAGAGGGCTTTTCTACTTCCTAGCACTAGGATGCTCACCACACAAAGGGTGGTTTCTGACTCCATGTTTCCGCCTTCGTAGGGCCATCTCTTGGTCCACCCCCTTCCCTGTCAGCACAGCATGGCAGTCCTCTCAAAGGACACTCGGCCAAGTCTGTTCCTCTGTACAGTTTTTGACAGGGTACGGGTCCTTCTCGGCCCTGTGCTCACAAGGCCTTTGTTGGTTTGTAGAAACAGGTTGACCCCAGGAGGCTGAGGGGTGTGGTCAGAGGTCACCCTCCGTGCCAGAAGTTATTCCGGCCTCCCCCAGCCCTGAGCAGGCCACTGCTCACGGATGGGGTAGATGCCTTTGCAGGGAGGAAAGAAAAATACTATCTATCAATTGGCTTTGGCAAAACAATTTCTGAAAAATTTTTTGCTTTATGTGGGAAGTAGGTTTAAATCTCATTTTATGCTGTATTTTATATCTTAGTTGTGTTTGAAAACGTTTTGATTTTTGGAAACATCAAAATAAATAATGGCATTTGTTGTATGCAGTGTGATCCTCTGGTGTTGTCCAGCTGGGGTGGGGCCCGGCCAGGCCTCTCCTTGGACGCCAAGCGAGCCTGAAAAACCCACTAGGCTTCGCTGAGGAGCACTTAGAAGCCACGTCCAGCCAGAACTCTTCCCTTGGGGTCTCTGCTGCTTCCTGGGGATGGGGAGCCGTGCCCCTGACACCTGTGGGACCGACCCCCAGCCCCACCCTTGGGGGCAGCAAACGCGGAGTGGAGGGAGAAGGCCCTGGGACACCCCAGCAGCCGAGAGGACGCACCGCAGATGGCTTGAAAAGGACCACGGGGGTCAAGTGTCTGAAGGATTCTCGAAAAGCTTTCAACATGTGCTCTCTCCACAGCTGTTTATTAACTGGACTGTTTAAAAGAGCTGAAGCTCTTAGCTTTACGATGATGACTTTTGAACTTCTTCGATGAGCTCACCTGCTTCTGGAACATGAACAGAGGATTCCAGCTTGTAAGCCTTCACTGTCTGAGAGGAAGGGGCCCTGTGAGGGGCACCCCGCCCGCCCGCAGAGACAGGCCGGCTCCCCACGTCCCCAGCCTCACAAGAGGCCTAGACCTTCTCGAGCCCCGGCCCTGCTCAGCTACCCAGGACGACAGAACCTTGTCACTGCCTCATGGCAATGGGCCGTGTCTGGAAACAAGTCCCCCACGGGCTCCCTGCTGCACTCGGCAGCCCTCAGAACCTGTCCGTGGAGCCTCGAACTGGGAAGGAGCCCACCCTCGTCAGGGCAGAGCGGCCTTGGCTCCTATTAACTGTTAGCTTGGCATTTCATTTGCAAAAACAAGGTTCTTTCTAACATTTTGTAAAGGAAACGGCAAACTACCACCAGAGGAAGCTGCCCCTCACCTTCCCGCGCTTGCGGACCAGCACCCGGGCCACTTCAGTCTCCTCCTCGGCCCCGGGGCCCTGCTCTGCAGCACACCTTGGCTTCTCGCCCTCCTCTTCTGTCAAAAAGTCATCGGTGCTGTCCCCAGGCTCAGTCCCTCCCAGGTCCTTTCTGGTGAACAGCTCGGCTGGAAGGAATGGAGGGATGGGCTGGTTCAGGTTAGGCTCACGGTCTGCGCAGGGCTGAGGGGGGAGTGGCCAGCCAGGGCCCAGGACCTGAGGACACGCGGTGGGAGGGCCGGAGGGCCGGAGGCTGGAGCCCACTTGCTGCAAACTCAAAACCGAGCAGGCAGCCAGGACCCACACCTGTGGGAAGGGGGTGGGGGGGGGAGTCCCGCTTACGTGGGTACAGGTCTGTCATACTGTCGTCACTGTCACGCGCGGCTGTGCCATCGTCCTCGCTAGACACGGGTTCCCAGAAGGCCTCTCTCGGGTGAGGCGGCCAGGCGCCATCCATCTGGTCCTCTCTCCTCCTCCTCTTGTGCAGGAGGCAGGCAGGCACGTACTCCACACCCTGCTTCTGACATTTCTCATCTGGGGGACAGGCCAGCACACTGCCTGGTTCTGGGTCTGCCCCGCAGTTCCCCGGTGCAGAGCCAAGCTCCACCAGGACCTGTACCCTACTCTGCTGGGTAAAAACTGGATCAGTTCCTACCAGGAGAGGAAGGAGGCCAGCAGGGGTGCCGGCCGTGGAGTGATAAGATGCAGGGGTGTGCTGGGCCTCGAGCACTGAACCCCCAGCCCTAGCCTGGCCCCAGGAAGCCTCAGGCATGCCGGCTGGGCCCCCACACTGGTTGGCGGGGCTCAGTGGGAGTCGGGCCCTTGGCCCAGAGCAGAGGCACCGGGATGAGGCCTCCACACTGGAGCCACACTCCCGTGTACGGAGGACTTGGGGAGGCCAGGCACTCAGCGTGGCAGATGCAGACTGAGCACCGATGAGGAGCAGGGTGGCACCGACAGGCCTGGCTTTTGAAACCTGCCCTGTGTGGGCATGGCTCTCCTTTCCAGTGCAGCCCCCTCAGGTGGAGGGAGAAGGACTGGGCTCTGGTCTCTGATGTCACTGCCTGCTTCTGCCCACCTTCAAGGCCCTAGCCTTTGCATCACCTCTGCCACCCACTCCGTGGTCCCACATGGCCTCCCTGCCACTGGACCCTGCACCCAGTGTCCCCTCTCCACATCCCCAGCCAGGCTCCCTGGCTGCCAGGCTCCGGCCCCTTCTGGCCACTGGTCCTGTGAGCCACACACTCTCGCTCACGGAGTAACCCAGTCCTCCCTTTGCCGCCACACCAAGCAGCCCTCAGGCTCTGCACCTGCGTGGGATCCCTACTTCTCAACCCTCACTAGTACCCTTAGGTGAAGACGGCCTCGTTTTTTGGGGAAACAGCCTTCAGACTCGTCTTCCTCATCCTGCCTGTGTTTCCATCCCCCAGCCCCCCTTACTGCCCCATCCGGTCCTCCCCCTACCTTCCCTTCAGGAACATTTGAGAAGAGTCTACCATTCTTGAAACCTCTGCCCCCGACATGACACCACTCCACCTGGCTGCTTCCCTCCCTCCTGGGGCTCCTTCCGTGCTCAGGCCTGGCCCTGTCCCTTCTTCCATGGCTCCGTGGATGCAAATGCCAGCTGTGTCAGTGGCGTGCATCATCTGAGCGCTGGCCCCTGTTGTCAGTGGCCATCCTGACACACGTTGACAGGAACATTTCATTTTCCCACAAAGCCTGTCATCCAGATGCCACTCTCCTAAACCAGGAATTCGGGGGTCCCAGCTGACTTCTTCCCCTCCCTCCCTCCCTCACCTACTGATCCTACCCTGTGCACATCTTCCCTGCCAACACCTGGTCACCCCAGCCATGGTCACCTCACCTGACTGCACAGCCACTGAGCGAGCGTCCCCTCTTCCACTCCTTCCCACCCCGCCCCCCTCAGAGCCACAGTGACCCTGACACAAAAAGTGACGTGCCAGGCCCTGCTTCAGTCCTCTCAATGCCTCTCCACTTCACGTGGTCCTGACCTCCAAGGCCCTCTGTGTTCTTGCCCCCAGCTACGCTGCTGACCCCACCTTGCACGGTGGTACAGTGGCCGTCTTTCAGGAGCTCCTGCAGCCAAGTGTTTCTCTGCCTCTGACCTTGCTTGAATCCTTCCCTCTACTCCCCATGTCCCTAAAGTCTCAGCCCAGAAACTCAGCCTCCCCGGGGCCTCCTGGCAGCCCTCTCGCTAGCCTGTGGTGACCTCGGAGCCCACTGCACCACCAGCTGCTGCCCAAGGATGACTGAAACACCACTTGTGCCTCTGATGGGCACTCATCCTGGAGAAGGGGCAGGCAGGCCCCCAAATACCTGTGAAGTGAGGCAGGCCGCGTCCGCCCGTGGCTACTTACATTCACGCAGAGCTCTCTGGTACCGCCGGCCCTGGGCGTGCCTCAGCACGTGCCCTGGGGACTTGTTGATGTGCCGCAGGGTGAGTCTGCAGAACAGCTGGTGTCTAGGGGACAGGGAAACCTCAGTCAGCAGGGACATTCACGGGGATCGACATCGGTGGCCCTCCACCACAGATGCATCTGACAGCAGAGGTCGACGAGGTGGCCTGGGCAGCAAGCAATTCCACACTGCAGCGGGGTGGAGAAACACTGATCCAGACGGGCTGTGAGCTCCCGACATTTGCCTGGGACACAGGCCTGGCCAGCCTCCGCACACGGCTCCCGCACAGGCAAATGCACGTGGGAAACGAGGCCCGGCAAGGCGCTGGATGAACGGGAGCACCCCCCCCCGCCCTCTTCCCTTCAAGCGCTGTCGAGCATACACGTTCAGCTACACCAAAGTTCTCTTAAAATACGTGAAACTGACCCCATTCAGAACCTTAGGTGACAAAGCGCAAGCCCTCCAGCTCCTCTCTGAGGCAGACAAGCCCGGGTGACAAACCTGAGCCCTGCAAATATCAAACGGGCACCAGGGAGGGGCCTAGCCTCCCACCTGGATGTCAAGTCGCCTATCCCACACGAAGTTGGGCTCCGGGGCCTCGAGGAGCGCGCACCCGGCGGGAAAGGGTGGGGTTCGGCCCGGTCCCCACTCGCGACCCTGCCTGCAGGGGCCCCCGCGCACGTACGGGTTCTTGGTGCTGGGCACGATATGCGGCTCGAACTCCGCGTAGTCGAAGGCCGGGGAGGCGCGGACGAGCCGCCGGTATTTCTTGCCGCGGGTGTAGAGCTGGAGCTCGGGCAGACGGCAGGGCAGCTCGTGGCCGGTGAGGACGCATTTCACCTGCGGGCCGGAGGGCGGGCGAGGGGGTCAGGGGGCCCGGGGGCCACCGAGCGGTGCCCGCGCCTCCCCCGCCGGCCCCGCGGACCTTGTGGGCGCCGGGCTCCAGCCGCAGACTCGGGTGCTCGCGCAGGAAAGCGCACACGTCGGCCGGCAGCTCGTCCATGGTCCGGCCGCTAGCGGAGCTGGAAGCCCGCGCCGCTAGCGCCGCGTGGGCCGGGGGCGGGGCTCAGCGGCGCCCCGGAAGCAGATGCCTCCAGGCCCGGAAGTGCCGGTGGGGTATGGCGGCGGTCGTGCGGTGGTTGGGGCTGCGGGCCGCGGGGCCGGGGGCGGTGAGCGCGGCGCGGGGACATGTCGGGTGGGCTGGGGGGCCCGCGCCCCGGCTTGGCCGAGCTCAGCCGTTGCCTCCGTCTCCGAAGGCCCCGCCCCGCGCGGTGAGGAGGAGCGTCCTTGCGGTCCCCCTAAGGCCAGGTGAGGGCTCGCTCGCGTGTGCCCTGAGCGCCCGGGAAGAGCGGCCCGCGCTCCCGCCCCCCCCCCCCCCGCTTGGCACCGAACTGCGCAGTTCCCGGCACCTGACCGGGCTGAGGAGGGGCCACCCCAAGATTGAAAGCCAGGTGTCTGGGACCCACGGCTTGCAGGTGGCGCGTGCACGTGCGGCAGAGGGGAACGCTGTGCGAGAAAGAAGGGTGCTTTGTGAGCCCGCTCCAGGCCTGCTTTTTTGCCGTCTGCAAGGCCCGTAATGTTCTGATTTGATGAGACTCACACTCCGACAGCTAAAATATATTTTTGTGTACTTTGTTCCGTCTTTAAATCAATGAGCAGTGAAGAACAGGC